ATGCATTTCCGGCTTATCAAGTTCCTTTTTTTTCGGATCTGAAAGAGTACATGCCTCCCATGAACTGTTTCATGCATCCAAGATTTGAGGCCAACGTATATGTTTATTGTTGTGCAAAAGAAAAATAAAAGTTATTGCACAATCGGATCGTCAAAGTTTCGTAGTTTTGACATCATTTTTTCAAGCTTGTCACTATTGTCTAGAGAATCAACATTGTTAAGTTGTAAAAATGATTTGATCTGCAGATATTTTGGGACTGTTCTATCTTCAGAATCCTGTTTTTATTTTATCCCCTCCTGCTGCTACCGTAGCATGCTGCTTGCAATAAATGACATGCTTGGCATAAGCATGGAAGCATTGCAATTTGAGAAAGTTAATGAGATGGTTCTTCAAGATAAAACATATCATTATGTTTTAGCATCGAAATCAGATGCTGGGAGCCATTTTAGTTTTCCTACATCTTGAGTGATGCCCTTGTACAATGTTATTATCTGTAGGTAAACCAATTAAACGGAGGAAGCGACACAGGAGGAAGCATCTTCAAAACCAAGAACCATGTCTAATGAGGGGTGTATACTTCAAAAATATGAAATGGCAGGCCGCGATTAAAGTTGACAAGAAACAGATTCACTTGGGAACAGTTGGTTCACAAGAAGAAGCTGCTCGTTTATATGACAGGTAATAAGCTGGCTTTTACCTGGTTTGTAGTGATTACTACTACAATTTTCAGAAACTCTCGATAGTTGCCACTATATGTAATCTAAATATTACTGTTTCGGTTTCGGATGAAGTTTGAATAGTCCAATATAACTGCCGAAAACCGTCAGCCCTAATCTGATACAAACATGGACTTGATCTAAGTACAAGTCATGTTCTACTATAAGTACCAAAGCTGGATTCTATCCTTTCTGTATGTGCTAAAGGTGATTTCCTGGTGGTCATTTTTTTAGTAATGTAACTTAGTTGTTACTTTGATGGATGGGCCAATGGATTTCGAAATTTATTGGCAGGTATTTTTATCTGTGTAGAGCTGCATTCATGTGTGGAAGGGAGCCGAACTTTGAGCTTCCCGAGGAGGAAAAGCAAGAGCTTAGGAAGTTCAAGTGGGACGAGTTTTTGGCATATACTCGCTGTTCGATCACCGACAAAAGTAACCCGTTCCTCTATGGATTCTAACCTTATTAACCAAACTGTTAGCATTTAAATACTAAATAGTTTTATTTTCAACCTAACCTTATTAACCGAACTGTTAGCATTTAAATACTAAATAGTTTAATTTTCAACAACAATTACAGAACACAAGCGAAGGCTCGAGGTCGAAGCACAGAAGTGGTCCAAGTGTGCAATAGAGAATGGTGAGTGGGACACCAAACGAGGAGTCAACAATAGCTTCTCGGCTTCAGAAGAGATGGGACCAGACTCTTCAGCCGAATAATCTGGTTCGAGCAATTAAATTCTTGTTGCAGGGTCTCCATTTTTAGGTGTAAAAGCCCCCTCTTTTAGAGCTAAGTAATAATATTTTGATTTCATTATCTACTGGTAAAGTGGTAATTAGATATCTACAAGTTTTAACACAGATAATAAGTGGTAAATATTAGTTGCATCATGATTCACCATTGTTGTTAGATCAACGAAAGGCATTGCAAATGCACTATATAAAATACCTTATTTTGATTTTAGGCCGAAGCTGAACCCTGAATGGTCAATGTAATGCAAGATTGCAGAATGATTGATTTTACCATTAATCCTTATTTTGCATGTCTATGGTTTAATCTGCCATTAATGGGGGGAGGCATGGACCGGTTACTGTTGAGATTGACACGAAAATGAGGCCAACAAGCCGACAACAAATATAGATGTTTACACTTGCTGTATTAAATGTCTTCACTACCTGTAGGACTGTTTACGGTATGTTAACTGTATCATTTAGTTTAAACAGTCTGTTAACTGTATCATTTAGTTTAAACAGTCTGGTTAATCATTATAATGATTATTGAATTTTACTGACCATAACCTAATCATAGAGAAATGATTAACTAATAACGGTTAAACGTTACTAACGGTTTGGTTACACAAGTTAACATGTAACCTATTACAATTTTTTACATTTTTACTCCTTAATTTTAAAAAAAATACATATTGACACTACATAGTATTTAATACATATACATACTACATTTTCATATTTTTATGTAAGTTTAAAGTTTCAACACACACAAAATACATAGTAATCATTTTAAAAATTTAAGCACATATCCATTAACAATATTTCAAGCACCATCAAAGTTTCCAAGATAAATCTTTACTAAACATAAAATAAGCATATAACTCAATATCTCTAATAACTCCAACATAAAGTAAATGAAACTTCTATAATATAATACCGTAAGTCACAAAAAATCAACTTTAATATCAAATCACGAATACATAAGATCTTCGTTGACTTCTTCCAAAATAGAATTTGTCTCATTAATCTTGAAGTTGGATTTTTTTAATATGTTTTATTATTTTTCTTGTCAATCAAAATATAAAATATGTATTTTTAAAGTTAAATAAATAATTAAAAATAAAACATAGATAATAATAAAGTAGTTTGAAATCTTTGAACTTACCTTTTCGTAGCAGTCGTAACTAGATTTGTAGCACTTATAATCAATTTGCAGTAGCCCTGGCTACCTTCATAAACTGCAACTAATTTGTTTTGACAGTGCGTGGACAATATGAATATAAATAAAAACAAGAACAAAAACCCACCAAAATTTTTTTGAACCAAATATCCGAGGATCGTGTTGACATTTACTCGTAATTTCTTGGCAGCTTATCTCTAAGGTGCGTTTGATTGGCATGAATCCCTTTGAATTAGGAGGAATTGAAATCCAATTTCACTATTTTCCTATATTTGGTTCAAGTTTTCCAAAGAAATTGAAATCCCTCATGACTTCAACTTTCTATCAAGAAAGTGAATTCCATCCATTCTATGACGGAATTCAATTCATTTATTGGAGGGAATTGAAATTTGACCATACTACCCTCATCAACCTTTTGGTAACTTATTCATATATTGAATAAAAATATTTTTTTATTATTTCAGGTCGGGTCGGGTTTTTAATTCATATATTCGGGTCGGGTCGGTTTTTTTAAGTGTGATATTCGGGTCGGATCGAGTTCGGGTTTAGGGTGAAAAATACCCGACCCGAAAATATATATAATTTTACCTTATATATTTAGGAATAATTACAATAATACCCCACTATATATAATTTTTTTCAATTAAGTCACTGTTTTTATTGAATAAAAATAATTTTTTTATTATTTCGGGTCAAGTCGGGTCGGATTTCTAATTCATATATTCGGATCGGGTCGGGTGAAACTTTATTTTGGTTGGATCGGGTCGGTTTTTTTTAAGTGTGATATTCGGGTCGGGTCGGGTTCGGGTTTAGGGTGAAAAATACCCTACCCGACCCGACCCAAAAAAATATATAATTTTACCTTATATATTTAAGAATAATTACAATAATACCCCTCTATATATATATATATATTTTCCAATTAAGTCATTGTTTTTATTGAATAAAAATAATTTTTTTATTATTTCGGGTCAGGTTTCTAATTCATATATTCAGGTCGAGTCGGGTGAAACTTTATTTTGAACGGGTCGGGTCTCAGATGGAGGTTCTCTTGTTCTAGGGTCGGTTCGACCAAAAACCCGACCCAACCCGACCCATGGCCATCCCTAATTGAGATGATTTTAACTTATGATGTTTATTAGCATGAATTTTTATAATTTATTGAAATGAATAATCAATCAATAAAATTAAAATTTAATTTTTTAAAATTTTTTATAATATATTGCTATATGTAATTTATAAAACAAACTAAAATTAAGCAAAAAAAAAAAAAAATAAGAAGGACAATTCTATCATTTTACATTACTGAAATCAAATTCATCTGACATGTCTGCGAACCAAACAGAATATGAAATTAGATTCCAATTCCTTCACAGATTTCAATTCCCTCATAAACATTATAGCGAACCAAACGCCACCTAATAGTTTATTCATCAAAAAGAGAGTGTGAAACATGAAACCGATCCTCCATTTTTTCCTTCCTTACAGTAATCATTGACTGATCTAATAAATCCTTTAACCATTAATCTTTTCCCTTGTTTTCATTTGAGCATACAGGTTCTCTCTTTTCACTAAAGTCATCATATTATTTATTTATAATATTTTAATCCTTAAACCATTCTAGACCGATTCTCAGGATGTTACAGTAGAAAACAAGCGCCTTATTGTTCATCTTTTGGAACTATATTGTTCACACTTCGTGATTATGCTATCTAACCATATACCTATTAAAGAGTGCATACTACTACAAAGATCAACCATATATTTAATAAAATTATATGATAAAAATATATAAGAATGTTATATTTATGTTTATTTACTTTCAAAATATGTTTTATATATTCATATATTATGATTATGTGTTACTCTAAAAAGGTTGATTTTAATTTCATCACCGAAATGCTCGACCAAACTCCAGAATCAATAAGGAGCGTTACAAAAAACAATTCAAGATTTTGAGTGCACAACATCTACTTGTCCAAACAAACCCAATTATAAGACGAACAATAAAAAAGAAGCCTTAATTTCAATGACCACGAACTAATGTCCGAAAGGGACAACAGTCACCCTCGTCTCATCAAGGGAGTCGGCACTTCGGCATCCTTTTTGAGACAAGGACTCGACTTTTCTTTATTACATCTCTAATACAAAATTTAAAAATATATTCAGTAATACATCAAAGAGCATAACTTAAAGAAATGTAAAAAAAACTAAAATGGAAACTATTTCCAATCTTAATTAAATCTGAAATGCTTGCTATTGATGCATAAAATTATATAATAAAAACTCAAATATAAAAAATAAAAAAATTCTACATTTATTCGAAATAGCATACAATGACTTGTTTCAATGTGTGTAAATCATTATATATAGTCATTAAACTAATTTGTTGAGCTATTGAATAAAGACGATTGTCCACTAAAACATAGTTTTGAAACTACCAAGTCAGAAATTCCAAAATTAGCTCCACTGAAACAACCACCGGATGAATCGACTCTTTTATCTTTCTCTTTTTCTTTTTCTAAGGCCAGTTTGTATTATCCCTGAAATAAAATGTTATAATCAATCAGAGCATACTCTTTTTTGTTCTCTAGGGGCATATATGCAACTCTTCCACTGAATGTTCACAGTAGAAATATAATTCAGTGCCAGGCCTTATGGAAAGTTAACCTTCTAAAACAAAGGGAGACAAAAAGATTATACACAAAAAAACTTACGTTACTAGTTGGGCATGGAGTTCACGTTCAAGCTACCGATGGAAGGAAGACCCTAATTAGTCCTCTCACGGTGACTCTTTTCCTGCAAGTCGGGCATCTCGCCTGAACAGCTAATGCAGCTTTAATGCATGCCTTGCAGAATATATGCCCACATCTTGTTGACGTCTCCTCCGTTAATGGCCCCATGCAAATTGGGCAGTTGAAGGTTGGTGCCTTTGGTGTTGGCTGTGACACTACAATTTCCACCACCTGCCATTATAACATTTTGCAAGTCTAAAATGTTCGTAAATTTAATAAAAAACAGAAATGCAACACACGGACGAAAACAAGGAGGGATATCTAGTCACGATATCTTTAGACCTGATAACCAGCCAAACCTGTACATGTCTCCTTGAAAGAATACGACATTACACATTTTGAATAAAATACTAAGAGGAAGAGATCTTACCGCCGACTGTGTTGAGCTTTCCAAATCGATAATGTTTGGGCTCATAGGAAGTCTTCGGAGTCTATTCGGATTATTATGAGTTGGCCACATGTGAGCTACACCTACTAAAAACAAAGAGCAACATAGGGTTTTAACTACAAAGAATAAATTCAGTAAATAAAAAACCACCAGTCCATAAATTAATTGACCGATGCATTCATACAAGTAAAACATTATAGATTTTATTGGGCTACTACAAAGTTGAAAAGTGATAATATCAACCTTAGTAAATCACCCTCATATGCCACAAATCCCGAAAATAAAGGTAAACAGCTATGTTAAAAACCAAATAATTGTATTTTATCAACAAAAATCTCTTGATGTTATTAGCACAGACCCTACAAGAGTATGGTCGGCAAAAGAAATGAATATATCTTCTTCGAAGATAAAGACAACAAAAAGCAAAGTAAAATTACTAATAGTACTTCCTGTTTTATTTCCATTTTAGTGCAATCCTCTTGTGTTAATATAAGAAGCTTTTGAACATCGGCATATTTTAATCAATTCAAGGCACATAATATCACCCAGATTTTCACTTGGATTATATCATGTTTGGTTAAGTGGATGGTGATTGACGTGCATTGAATTTGTCTTATTTCAAATATGTAAAAGTAAAATGACATTCCTTTTATTCATCAATTTAAGAAGCAGGGTATTTGTTCCAAGGATCCTAAACCTCAAACTAACAAAGCACCTAAGTCGAGACCAGGTTTGAAACCCACAGGGTATCTACCTTAAAATTCATTCGTTAATGGGGCTTTGACGATGTTATTAAGAAGGAATCTTTTGACTCATGAAGATAAATAGAATGAATTTACAAGGCAGTGCATCAAATGAGCTTCTTCTATATGCAATGTGCATATGATAATACAGGTATCACGTGAAGTCAAACAAAAATACTATAAACAGTATTTTCCCTAAATTTACCTACCTGAATCTACATCGACAACAATCCTTCCACGGTTCCTCCTTGAATTGTTCAGAGCCTGATATAATATCCCAATAAGTTTATAATAATCAGCATGATGCTAATGACTAAGGAAATTTTAAGTAAAAAACAAAGCAAAATAGAACAAGAGCAACATACCTCTGCAAAAGCTGTAGCCGAAGATTCAATTGCATCATCATCAATAGCATCGACATCAATAGTGGCAGGCGGTTCAAGCTGCACGGATTGGATAGTTTGTTCTTCATACCCAGCCTGTTGCGAAGTACCCTCCAGTTCTCTGATTTCACTGGGTGGAACATTCAGATCGAGCATGGCTTTTCTCCTTCGATACCCTCTGAGAGAAGGCCCCCTCACTTCAAGAGTGCTCATGTTCAGCTTATGATTTTTCAAAGGGATATCCGAAGATTGCGGCCTCAAAAAAAACTAAAAGATGTCAAAATACAACTTCCTCAGGTACATTCACAATAGATACTGTATCATGTTTTCTCTAAAAGCAAACAATTCCTTTACTTGATGTCAGTGTTAGTGATGTTTACACAAAAAGAGTTCAATCTGAAATCAAACAAACCTAGTGATTTAGAGCTTAAAACAGGAAAGAGGATCCAGAGACACAAAAATGAGATTTTTTTTTCCCACAAACTTCGCTTCCTAGAAAGTCCAAGTAGCAACAAGGGTGTCACAACATATTCCTAGAAAGATTAAAAAAGAAAAAAATCGACAAGCAAAAAAAAAACCAAATCTTAACAACGGAAGATCGATTAGACACCAAAACATCAAATCAATTTTTTTTTTGAAAAAGAACAAAAAAGTAAGATTGGTAAGTCAGAAGAGAATGGGAGACCAAATATCATACCTTGATACACTGGGGAAATCGAATCGAGAAATCAAGAACGTTCCTCAAAGAAAAATATGGGAAATTGGTCAGAGCGAAGCGGAGAATCCTGGTGAAATTATAACGTCTAGGGTTTTTAAAGCCGGGGGGAGAGATTTTTCAACAGTATTATGAAGGTCGCGCGGTCGGTGTGAGCTTGAAGAGTGTCCACGTGGCGTAACCCCACTTTGTATTTCTTACGTATTCGCTTACAAATGCATCCAGCGCCCACAAGTCTTGGCTATCTTTTTAGAGTCAAACCTTTTAGCGCCACTTTTGCATTATTGGTGATATTAAAAAATTATCATATTGAGATTAATTACTATAACAGGTAGATTAATTACCATGGTAGGAAGATTAAGTATTAGATTAAAAATAGTATAAAATATTAATTAATTTATTAATATAATGGATACAGCTATTTATTATTTATTTTAAATTAAATATATTAATTTATGTGTTATAAATATTTCAATGTATACTTATTTTAATACATTTGAATTTATAATAATTAATAATTAATCAATAATTTATAGTAATAGATGGGGGTAAACATTTAATTAAGTCGAGTTGAGATAAAAAAAACTTTGAGTTATTTGAGTGATGAGTCTTATTAAATAATTTTAAAAAATAAGTCGAGTTTATGAAATTCAAGTCTAGTCAATTAGAATTGTCTAAACTTCTGTTTAAATTTAATATGGATAATTGGATTTGAGAAATTATTGTCATGTTTATTTTGGACCATTGGATGAAAAATGACAATATTGAAATTTTGGAAAGATTACATGGGTAAAGTTGGAAAAGGTGAATTAATTGGTTCTTCTTTGACTTTATAAAGATGATAAGAGTTATGTAGCTTGGTATTGAGGTAAATATCAAGTTTCATTAAGGGCAAATTGGACATTTCTTATTAAATGAATATTATATTCATTTAAGATTAAATATAAGGTAAATTAACATGAAATTAAGGATAAATTTCATGAAACCAAACTATTTTTCAGCTCCATTTCGTGCTCCCCCATAACTAGGTAAAATAAATTTTATTTTTCAATTTTGAGCAATTTCCTTTGGATTTTGGATCGAGATGTGAAGTAGAAAATTGTTCTATTCGAAAAACGCTATCATTTGGTACCATTATTGCATGCTAATTTTGTTTGTGTTCAGAGATCCCAAATTCTAGGGTTTATGTTCATATTAGGATTTTATGATTTGATGAAAGATTTAGATGTTCTTGAGGTTGTACAATCATATACAAGCTTGATTGTCGATTAAAATTACCTATATATGTATATACTTTCTTATGTTGATTTTTAGGCCTAACCCTAGATTTAGGGAGAGATTGTGATTTCATGAAATTAAGTTATGGGTTTGATTGTAGAGATTTTATAATGTTGAATAGAGGTTGGTTTCATGCTTGAATCAAGTGAAAAATTGAATCCCTAACACATATATAGTTTGTCCTTGAGGATATAAGTTAGGAAAAATTGTAGAAAAATTCGCATGGCTTAAAAATGATATTTGGAAGGTTTTACAAGCCTTATAATTTTTTGGGTCATTTTGTAATTTTTCAAAAGTTGAGAGACCTATTCGACAATTTTGAAAGTTATGGAATGAATATGTAATTACTCAATAATTGATGTATGTTCCTGGAAATTATTGTTTGAGGGTTGAAATTGAAGTTATAATGTGAAATTTAGCCATTTTGGAAATTTGGCAAAGTTTAAGTACTAAATGGTAAATATTGAGAAAGTTAGTAGCTTAAGTGGTAATTGTGGTATTGTTGAGATTCTGGGCTAGAAATTTAATGCTGGAAATTTATTGGGCTTAGGCCTTGAATTGAAGGAAATTATGGCAAAGGCCCATTATGAGTAAAAAAGAAAATTTAAGATGAATTTTAGAAGAATTTGAAATATAATAATACTTTTGGGTATTATTATCATGTATAAAATGTTAGTAAAAGTGCTAACATGTCTTTTATATTTGTATGTGCTTTTATGGATGATTGTGTAGATCATGATCAAAATTGTGATACAAGCAAAGCGGAAAGGAATGAAAAAGTCCAAGAGTAATCGAATATTGACAGTAAGCAATAATAGTGAGGCATACTAGGTGAGTGCATTTATTATATACTTATATGATATGAGGATGACTTGCGATGAGTCAACCTCGAGTATTTTTATTGAAATATGTTTTAAAATATTTTGAAATATTTTCATAAAGTTTATGAAAATGATTTTACAAATGATTTTAGGGTATGAACTACCCTAAAACGAATGTATATGTTTCACATAAATTATTATTTATTGATGGTTTGGAATAGATGTTTAACATGCGATTTGGACTTTAAAGCCTATTGTATGTACATAGAAAGTCATAGGTGTAATAGTAATACCATAAATAAGGTGGTATTGTAGTAGTACTTTATGTACTGTAGCACTATGTATGTAATTGGCATACTTGGTGTGTGATGGATATCTATCGATTTTGTTTAATGCATTATTGCATTTTCGTACCATTATTTTGTGTACTTGGAGTAGTACTTTGTGTACTATGACACTTTGTGTGCAAGGATGGTAGTCGAACAGGATTACTACTCCGGAAATGGTTAGTATATTGTTGTTGTGTACCACAATACCTATATGTCATTACGGCACTTAGGTGCTTATTGTGTACTTTGCATTCTCATTTGTCATACATTGGGATGTGAATGAATATTTTGGAATACACTGATTGATAAGTATGCTAGGCATACGAAATATTGTTTCGCATTTTATTTGATGAAAAATTGGTCTATCAAGTCAGTTTTATGCATTAATATATTTTATACGATGAAACTCATATTTTGATCTTTTATGAAATACTTATGTTTTAATATGCATAATTTATTGTATTATGTCTCACTAAGTGAATACTTAGCGTATGATGATTTTCACATGTAGGTAATAGCGAATGATCGGAGTGAGGATGTAGTTGATATCATCTGTTAATGATTTCCTCATCAGTAACAGTATGTCATCTCTAGATGTTTATTTTGATATTACTAATCGACGTGTACTTAAATATTATATGATACTTTGATAGGACATATGGTATTTGGTTTGTAGTCCTATATTATATTCGAACTTAAGCTACTATGTGATGGGTTTCAAAATGTTATTTATATATTAGTAGTTAATGAACAGACATTTTAAATATTATAATATTAAATCATTTTATAAAATATATTTTACTGGTTTTCAAGTAGAGTAATGTTTTAAAAGTCATGTGTCATCTATGACTCATGTACGGGGACGTGTAACATCCCAAACAATGGTTTAGTAACCAAAATGTAAGAGTGTAGAATTTAATGGTTTACTTGGGATAAGTTGAAAAGTTTAAGGATTAATTTTGGAAATTTTTATTTAGGATTTATTAGCAAAGATGGAAGAATGGAAGGGCAAAGAGGTCTTTTAGCAGGAAATAAATTTAATATTCATTTTTAAAGATATTTTAAGCATGTGAGGAGAAAGAGAAGGAAAAGAAAAGTCTGGAAACTTGATTATTTATCTTATTCTTCCTCTTCCCGTAAACCTTCATTTTCCAAGGTGAGTTTATTTAATTTGGTTGTTCCTTTCATTTTTAGGTTGGTTTTGAAGCTTTGAATGATATAAAAACTTAAGGAATACTTAAAAATGATTAAAAGCAAAGAAATTAAGAAATTATGGTGAATTAGAAAAAGGGGTTTTAAGGGAATTCTTAATATATGGTGAGGAATTTGATTATAAATGCATATTTGACTTGTCAAGGGTCTAATTAAGGGATTTGAAGTCTTAGAAAGGCTTGAGATCAGGTTTGACAAATTGCTATGAATTTTAGTTTCAAAAATTATAAGGAGAAATTAAGGTGTTAAAGGGGTTTTAATGGATATAAGTTCAGGGTAATAAGTGTAAATAAGTTTAAAGGTATGAATGGAGTTTAAATAGGAGATTTAAGTGAAGTTGGGTAAATTTTTAAAGGGAAATAGATGAATTCTGGGTAGGGGTATCAATATTAGAAGAATAATACTGATACTATAAGGTTAAATTGTAAGAAATGGTTTGAACTGGATGAAAAGTATCGATACTGATTGAATCAGTATCAATACTGAGTTGGAGGTATCAATACCAAGAGGAAGGTTTCGATACTGTAATTCAAATTGGAATTCCAGAATGCCAAAATGGTATCTATACTGAAGGAGGTATCAGTACCATAAGAGAGAAGTATCGGTACTATAGATGGGGTACCGATACTATTAAGTCTGAAACTTGGAATTTTAAAGTTTTTCGTTCCATTTATGTAGTGTTAATCAGTTAAATGTTAACGGAGATTCTGTATTGATATGGAACATGTCTATGTGTAGATTTGAATTGAAATGGTATTGAAGAAATCGACATATTACGAGATTGAAAAAAAGAAAGAAAAGGATTTCATTTAGGACTTACGTGAGGCCAATGTGAGTGCTATTTACTTATTATATTTATGATTGGAGGACGGCTTGTGATGAGCCAACCTCAAATGTTTTTAGAGCAAAATGAAATGTTATGATTATATATATATGAAGTTTTCTATGTGAATATGTTTTTTTATAAGTAAAAGGATAAGTTGAGTAATGATATGTAAAATGAAATAATTATGCGAATCACTATGAATGTATGTAATATGTGATTAAATGAAAGATATTAAATATGTGAAATGAAATGAAATACTAAGAGTAATTGTTAGAATGTGAATAAATAATAATATTTGATAATGTTATGTGACAATATGCTACGTGAAATGTTATGTGAATATGTGCTAAGTGAATATGTTCTATGGAACATAAATGATAAGTGAGAAATGTTATAAGGAAGGTTATGAATGAATCCTCTATGTGAATATACCTTATACAAAAATGCTCTACGTGAAAGTAAACTACGAGAATGTACTCTATGCGAATAAGACATACTTTAAACAATGAAATGAAACATAATTATAAAGAAAAAGTCCAAAGTATATTTTATAAGAATTAGGGGTATAGTTGGCATGCCAAGAGTCGAGGGTTCTACGTGGTCCTTCGAGACAATTTTATGTGGTCCTTCAAGAAAAATTCTATGCTGTCCTTCGGGACATTTCTACGTGGTCTTTCGGGACATTTCTATGTGGCACTTCGGTGCATATTCTACGCGACACTTTGGTGCA